CATAACCTTATAATAAGACAAGAGTGACATAACCGTATAATAAGCTACAAAAAATCTTTTACTTGAAATGTTTGAAGTATTATATCTCTACAAGTATAAAAGTAAAACACTTATATGACAGCTAAATTAGTTGAAACATAATTAACGGTAATGGATCATATAAACAAAATGACAACCATACATCTTGAGTCTCTTGTATAATAGCTTCAGCATTAAGAGGAGCATGTTGATTAAATAACGGTGCTTTAAGGGTACTTTCTATAAACTCTCTGTGATTCTGTACTACAGTCTCCATCTGGTGGCCTGGTGGTTGTATGGTTAGGTAGATGATGACTGGATCAGAGGGAACTAGATGGGCCTACAATAAACATAACTTCATTACATACAAAGTTTCTACACTCTGACCAAGACAGAAACACATATATATATATATATGAAGGAAGACATTTAACAATAATATTACATAGTAACTGTTAGGTCATCAAGAAATTAATGTCGCATTTTGGAACACTTTCATTAACACCCCCCCCAAAAAAAACGTACATCACGTATAATAGTTAAACGAATTGCCTAAACGTCACGAGACACACATTCGGCATGTAATGCTGTTTGAATACAAGAAGGGATACAACACCTCTGTAGCCACAAAGTATATCAAAGAAGTTTATGGAAATTATTTGAACATTTGTAAGTGTCTACGATGGTTCAGTAAATTTCGTTCAGGTGACTTCAGCCTTAAGAACTGTGATGGCAGGGTCCAATATGTTGGAATTGATATTGATGCTCTGAAGAAGCTTGTTGAGTCTAGCCCAAGGCAACCCACTCGTGAAATGGCCATGAAATTGCATGTCTCTCATGAAACAATATGTAAACATCTAGGGAATATGGGAAAACTCCATAAAGAAAGTGTTTGGGTGCCTCTCGAACTCTCCAAAAAATCATCGTTTCCAACATGTGAACGTTGCTATGTGCGTGAACCATTTTTGAACGGAATTGTCACCTGTGATCAAAAAGGGATTACCTATGCAAATATTAAATGCCAAAAACAATGGCTCAGTCCTAGACAAAACCTGGACTCCATCCACAGAAAGCGATACTTTGCATTTCGTGGGACATCAAAGGAGTATTTCATTTCAAACTCCTCAATCACAGCGAACT